CCCCCCCCCCCCCCCATGAAGGTTGGGGGGGGGAGGTTTTAGACGCTCAACTTACAAGCAAGCAAACTAACAAACGAACTAAAAACATAAACATATGAAAATAAAAGATGCAGAATGCAAAATGGCATGTTTTAGTCAGAAATAGGGTCAGTATAAGAGAATAACGCGTTCAGCGGCTTGTCAAATTTTTCGTTTTTAATTGATATCTAGACAGGGTCTATTGTAAGATTATACAATGAAATATAAGCCAAAGAAACTTGAAGCAGCTTTTCGTAGTTTGAACCCGATACGTTTTTGACAATTCTACAAGTACACTTACCTTTTATGGCATACACATCATTAGCCCAGGGACCTCCTTTACCATTCCTACATCGATTAGTTGGTCCATATTTCCGGTAAGTGAGATGAGCTCTGGGACCCGTAGCGCACCATCCCTGATGCTGAACTGCAAAGACTCTGTAACCGAACCTCAAAGCAACAAGGGCACATCTCTTTATGGCGTCTGCTCTTCTCCTGTAGTAGCCTGTCACTAATGGGTTACGGCCGTCCATCTGGGGAACAGCGCGACGGCCTGTGTCTTTGTAGCATCCAAGCGAATTGACTGGAAGAACAAATCAGAGCTTTCCTGAATAAAGTGTGGAAGGCAATTCAAGGTTTGGAAGGAAGAAATACCAGGTGACAAATCGTTACGATAAATTACTTTTTATGTACTGCTACCAAAACAAAGCACTCACATCATCTCAAAAATTGAAACTAATTATGTAACACAGAGAGAGATTTACGCAAAAAAATGTCGCCTCGCACGAAGCGGATTGTCACTGTGACATGTTCCATGAAACGATAATTACTTCTCTGCCATCACTAGTTCAATAATCACTTCGAGTATTGTCACGCTCAGTGCACACACATCTTCTAAAATACTTATCCAATCAGAAGTAAAGTCAAAACCGTCTGTTATCTGTTTCCATGCGTTTTAATCTCCCGCGCTTGATGAGGTTTACGTGCTTTTTTTGTATTTTATTTATTTATTTATTTTTTTGTTACTACGATTGCTGTCATTGGTAATTCTAACTGCTTTGGTTTTTGGTCGTGGGACACTCAATTCAAATACGCTATCCTGGAAAGAGCTAGCAGGTGATGCAACTCCTCGCAAAGAATGTAAGATGGCTTTGGATTTGGTTGTCTTAATTCTTTTTTTTCACGTTAGATGAACGTCAGCAAGGCAATAGAAATTACGAAAATATGCTTACTTATAACTCCAGTTGTCACTCTAATTGGTGCAGCTGTAAAACAAAAATGTATATTAAACAATGAGTACTGCAAAACATTCGTAACAAAAAATCACATAACTTTGGTAAAATCAACCACAACGTTCCACATTTCTTATTAAAATTTCCATCATATGCGGCCAAAGAAGAGTAGGAGATATTCTTCGCAACAATCGACAAAAGGAAATTAAATGTGTATGTATTAAAGTAAAAAGTTGTGGTCTTACGTTTCTTTCCGCCTCTGCAGTACCCCCACAGTTTGTTCCGGTTATAATCAGGCGTGATTGCGCACCAGGTTCTGCCGTTTTTAGCGCGAGCACAGCCACGGTATCGTCGCCTGCGGTACGTAAATGGCACACAACAGAAACCGGTATTGGTTTTGTATCTACAGCGTCCTGAGGAGAGAAAACGAATCTGTTTGATGAGTGGAAACTTATGCTCATCGCTTCTTAAAGTTCCCCTGTTAATTAAATGATCCCCCCATAAGGCTGTGTAATATTTCTACGACCCACCCTTCTCCCCTCCCCTATTGGCAGTTAATTAGCGTTCAATCTTACATAATTCCCCCTTTGTATCTTTGTTGGCGACGAATGATCCTCCTCCGTTCCCTCCTGAAAACTATGTAATTCCCCCAAAATCTTCCACCCCCCTCTATATTACCCCTTTATACTCTGTTGGCAACGAATGATCACCCTTCCGTTCCCCCATAAAAAACCACGTGATTCCCGAAAATCCTTCCACCCCTCCCCTCCCAAGTGACAAATAATGACTGGTTACCCAATAATTCGAAAATAAGAGTAACGCAAAAATTTTGACAAATACCTGACACTCTGTAGACATTGTTTGCCCAGCCACCTCCCTTTCCATTCCTACACCTATTTGATCGTCCATATTTGGCGTAAGTGTACCTAGCCCGAGGTCCTGAAAAACACTGCCCGCCATGTTGAACTCCAATGTAATTGTAGCCACGCTTTGCCGCCTCCAAAGCACATTTCTTAATGGCAAATTTCCGAGCACGGTAGCTCCCTCGTAAGAGGAGACTTTTGCCTTCCAAAATTGGGATGGCTCTTCTCGAAGTGTCCTTGAAACATCCGACACCTTGCACTAAAAAAAATTTGTATGTAAAAATTAATTCATCTAAACCCGTTCAAACCTTTTCATTCCCAACAAGTACTTCCTCTGTACAATATCAAACAGTGCCAAGAAGATAGGTTTCAACCCTTTAACTCTCAAAGATGCTTTACATGTACCTTCTTCTTATACTATCCTCATATTATCCAGCAAACAAGTAATGAGAATACTCAAACCTATCAGGTAGAAGTTGTTATTTTGATCTAACACCAAATTCTTGCAACTGATTTGCAAAAGAAATGTGAAAGAAGAGGGGAGAATTAAGATTCAGATCTTAGGAGTTAAACGGTTCAGAATAACCAAGAATATCACATAAAGGATGTTCTTCAATGTAACAAAGAAAAGCCCCCATCCCTTTAAAAAAAAAGTAAAAAAAAAGTCATGGCACACGGCATTGATGGCAAGATCTTTCTCATTAATTCTAATCCAATGTATTTTCAACTCTTATCTAATATTCTCTGTCTGTCATCTAATCTAAAAATTCTGTAATTCATCAACAACGGTTCTACGATAGTTACGAGCGAGTGCTTACGTGTTATCGATGGTGTAACTCTGATTGGAAGAGCTGTTGAGATAAATATAAAAGTTTGGAATTAGTCTTATCTTTAATAGCGGGTCAAACAATTTAACGTTCTGTTTCTTATGTGAAATCAAATGAATCGTCATGCACACAAATCCTAACTCGTACCAAAATAAATCATTTTAGTAGAAAAAATTTCTGATAAAAGTTTCCGCTCAATTTTCTTTTAGCAAAAACAAATTTTAAGCAGTTCGCGATGATTTCCTTCGAACAATGTAGGGTGCCTTTCAAAATAACTGTTCAGCTTCACTCTTCCTTTATTTATACCAGCGACCTGCTTCATCAATAATTATAGCTATATCTATGTAAAATATTTTTTCAATTCTTGGCTTCACATTTACGATTACCGTAATAATGACATGTTATTCGTTGTGTTGATGTCCATCAAACCAATTATAATAATTATGATAATAAATGCAGGTAATAATTATCATCAATACTCACCCTTCCCGCCTCTGCACCAACCGTATATTTTATCCACATCGTAGTTAGGAGTAAGAGAACACCAGGGTCGTCTGGAGTTAACTCTAGTACAGCTGGAGTATCGTCTGCCACGGTAAGTAAATGGGAACACACAAATGTTGTTGCGCGTTGTTCGCACACGAGGAGAGCCTGGGAGTGAAAAACAGAAGAGTCAGATAATTGTACGTGCTTACCATTAATAAAGACTTGTCAGCCGGTTGGATTATTAGTTAAGACAATTCTGTTACATTATTTTAACTTTTCCCGGCAGATCCGTCAAATCAGTCCTAAGCTATTCTCCAGTATTAGGAAGGAATTTAATAAAATCACAAAACTCTTAAAAAGGTCTGTTTATTTCTTAATTGACTGATCTGGTTGGAATTGGATTTCTGAGTAATGTGCTATGTGCCGATACTGACGTGATAATTAACATTTCCAACAACCTTTAACAGCAATTTCCTTTCGTTTTTGAGGAAGAAGCTTTCCTCTCGTTTAAACATCCTGACCTAAAACATTTTAATATTTTATATAATCTTTTAACCCTTAAGAGTGATAAGCATCTAATTTCTCTCAACAGCATCACTACTAAATAAAACATTAGGTTCATGATAATAAAGGCAACTATCACAAGGTCGAAAGACTCGGTTGTAAGACAAATTAAATACTCCTTGTAAGTACCATTAGAAATGTATAGAGAACTTGCATTCTGATGTTAGGTTGTAAAGGGTTAGAAACTAATCGAAGATCGAAAACGTTGTTAAAAATTTTATACACAAAAACACATCTCGGTCAAAAAGCCAAAATTTTAACATATGTACTCTTCAAATGAAGCTAACCTCGCAAAACGTAGACGTCATTTGCCCAAGGTCCTCCCTTTCCATTCCTACATCTTTTACTTCTTCCGTATCTTCCATACGTTCGATAGGCGTACTTTGTTGACGCACACCATCCGCCATGTTGGATCGCAAACACTCTGTAGCCTCGCCTCGCCGCGGCAGCAGCACATTTCTGAATAGCGTATCGTCTTCTGCGGTAATTTCCTTTCAGAAGGCGACTTCTGCCCTCTAATGGCGCTATAGCTCGTCGGCCTGTGTCTTTGAAACAGCCGATGCCGTATGCTATATTATAAAAAACAAGTAGTGATCAACAGGTAACGTCCCCCTAACATAAAAATTAGGGAGTTTGAGAAACAACGGCGGCGACGCTGTTGACAACGACTGTTAAAAAAATGAATTTAAAATTTACCAACGAATCTCGCAATACTCTAAGGTCATTTAGTTTGTTTCTCACTTTCAAAACTATCTCGAAACTGAATATTGAACACAGCCTTCGTCGTTCACCTTCGCCAGGCAACGCAAAGTTTGTTCATTTCACGTTGTTGTTTGGCAGAGGACGCAAGAAATTTACAAAGATTTATAACGCACGTGAACAGGCATTGTTCTGCTCATTAAACTATTTGTTTAGTGACGTTCCCGTTCCCGTTGCCGTCGGGGTTTTCTGAAGCTCCGGAATATTAAGAAAGAAGGGAGGAGAATAAGTAAAATAACTAATTGGGATGCTTGATGTAATACAGGAAAGAACAAATGAAATGATGACACAAGAGATACAAGGCTTACTCCTCTGTCTCTAAATCATTCGATGCTGTGTGCTTAATCGTGGATAATCATTCTCCACAACTTCTTACAAAGTCAACATATACAACGCGAATGCAATTTAATCAAAATATAGGAAAATTTCGTCTGACAGAGACACAACTGTCTGGTGATACACAAAATTATCTTTACTTGCGGTAGAGAATTGTTTAGCTTCCATAAGGAGACATGAGAGTTTGATCGGATTCAAACTTACCAATCAGTCCAGTTGTGATTCTTATTCTTCGACCTATACATTAAGCGAGAAAAATCTAATTTAATTTAAGAGCAATCACAAGGACCGTGAAATACATAGAGAAAATTTAACGAATTCTACATACTCTCATAGTATCATATTAATCTCTCACACTTTATCAAGAAGAATTGAGAGCGATAACAATTCATTACTTAATGGTATAACATTAAAAAGATACCTTTAGGAACAATAGGACGAACAGGTCTGATGGGTCTTCTTCCTGATGAAAAAAAAAAAATTGAGAACTGATCATTGTCTGAGATCAAATTTCTTACGCATAATGGTAACATCATGGTGACTTAAATCTGTTATGTAATGTCACGACATATCAAGCTACGTCATGTCACGACATATCAAGTCACGTCAAAGTCACGTCGTGTCATGCTATGCAGTTGTGTTCATGCTACTCAAGTCGATTTACTGCGCCATATCACGATATACAGAGTCACTTCCAACGCGATTAGAGAAAGAGGGAGGGTGAAGACTACAGAAATATTTTATTTTATTCTTCAACAGCCAAGTCTCTCTTTATTCCTGTTAGGTGTAAAGCTGATCTCTGTTATAAGAACATACTTGCGCAGTTGCCCCATTTCTTGTCTCGATCATAGTTGGGTGTCAAAGCGCACCATGGTCGATTGTGCCTTCTTCTTGTACAACTGTTATAACGACGTCCTCTGTAGATAAACGGGAATGCACAGCAGTAGCGTGAAGTTGTGCGCCTTCGGCATGAACCTGTATGTGCGAGGTGAGATAATTAATTTAGATTTGTGTAAAGTTAAGGATCGATTAAAATCAAAATTTATAATTGGCTTCATAACTCTAGACATTTTTATATTACTTATACCGTGACAGGACAATACCCCTGACAGTGAAAAAGATATCGATAATCTTTGGAAATATTTGCGCGCAACCTTGAAGGCTCGTTTACTGATACTCCGCTGTTCACCGATACTCCACTGTTAACAAATTCAACCGGGAGGGGGGAGGAGGAAAAGGTTAAATTAAAGTAGAAAAATTAAGGAGGTGGATGGATTACTGGATTATTATAGAAACAGCTTGGGTCACCAGCTGATATATCCGTAATATTTTGACTTCAGTTTATATTCGGGAACGACACGTTGAAGTCGTCTGAGGTAAAAAATTTAAAACTCTCCCCATTTTTGTGATAAACAGCCTGCAGAACTGGCGTTTGTTTCAACTTTATTCAAACAGAATCAAGTGCATATGGCGGGAAACACGCGCTGGGGGGGGAACTGTTCACGCTATCCATACTTTTGCCTCGCGCATGCCTCTCGGCGCCTGGAAAACAAAAAAAAATACGTCTGTTTAAGAAAAGAGAAAACCTCGACGTTAACATTATCACCTACCCGTGATGGAGTAAACATCATTAGCCCAAGGTCCTCCCTTTCCATTCCTACATCGATTGGATCGTCCATACCTCCTGTATGTCACGTGAGCCCTCGGGCCCGTAGCGCACCATCCCTGATGTTGAACCGCAAAGTATCTATAAGAACGCTTCATGGCCTCTAGGGCGCATTTAAAGATGGCGTCCGATCGTTTTCGGTAGTAACCCCGTACCAGGATACCTCGGCCATCCATTTGCGGGATGGCTCGACGACCGGTATCTTTGAAACAGCCAATGGATCGGACTGAAAATGAAATGTAAAATGAAGAGAAATGTATGTCAAACAAATTTGAATATTTCAAAAGTCTTAAAGATATGTATCAAACAGAAAAATTAGCAAAAATTCCAACTCAAAGCTATTTGTCCCTTTGGAAACAAAAAGAGTTTACGGAAAATTCGTCTGGCACAAACCTAATGCTTACACTCTTTATAATAAGAATTTCAATATTTTTACGAAATTAAAACAAGGTTTTACTATACTTGGAGAGAAATGTCCACTGTATAAACTTACCTATAACTCCAGAAATTCTTATTGGAGCAGCTGGAAAATAAACATAAAAAAAACATAACTTGATGATACAGTACACACGTTAAGAGGGGCTCTTATTTCTTGTTTGATTATTTCCGATTAAAAGAAAGGAGAATCTAACATCATGACGAATTTGCATCTGATCACAGAAACATGTCAAAATGTAGCACTGAGCGAAGAAAAAGACCGTTTGAGCCAATTGTTAAACTACACGAGCTTCATACGCACAAGTTTGAAGTTTTTAGTGATGGTTGTTGGGGGGTATGGGGAGGTACGTATTGGGATGAGAAATAACGCTTTAAACGTTGTAAGACCGATGTTCCAATCACAAAGACTTAATTAAGGTCGAAAATCTGGTGTCAGTATTGTAACCTATTGAATCGAAAGCAGCATGAAATGAAAAAAGGAAAACAGAAACATTTTAGAGCAGTTTTCAATTCAGTGTTGATTCTAATCCTGGATTACGCTGGCTTTCCTTCAACCGACACGCTCTATTATTGGTCTACAGAGCATGCCAATCAGTAGCTAAAACAAAACCAATACCGGCAAGGGCACTCGCGTTTTCCCGCGCTTCATGCTGATTGCTGTTTGTATCTTGTTACTCTAAGTTCTCATTGGTTCCTTAGGATATTTACATATACTCTGATTGGCTGTTGTGGTTGCCATGCCCTCCAAGAGACATCTTAAATTTTCACTTACGTTTGCTTCCTCCTCTGCAATATCCCCACAGCTTGTTCCTGGAATAATCAGGCGTAAGTGCACACCACCGCTGACCACGACGATTTTTAGCGCAGCTGTTGTAATAACGCCCGCGATACTTGAACGGGAACACGCAGCAGTTTCCTTGCGTCGTACGCTTTCTGCATCTCCCTAAAGAATAATCAAATCGAGTCTGCATAATACGTAGTAAGAAGTAGTCAAATAATGCGCATTGAAGCATGAGTGATGGTTATAACAGGTCTATATTTCTTAGAAAAAAGGATTAAAAGTGAGCCACTAACTTAGCAATCAAGGACAGCTCTTCTGTCCTTTATAGACCTGGTCACCATAGATAATTAACAAGATATTTTGTGGGTCCTCCCACGGTAAAAACACCCTTTCTTTCACCATGTTATTTCAGTCACCTTCCAACAGTATACCAACTGAATTGTGGACCTTGAACAGGACAATCACAAAGAACACTCGCATACCATAAATCCTGTAGACATCGTTGGCCCACGGCCCTCCTTTTCCATTCCTACATCGGTTTGATCGTCCATATTTAGCATAGGTATACTGAGCCCTGGGTCCTGAAAAACACTGCCCGCCATGTTGGACTCCAAATACTTTGTAACCCCTCTTGATTGCCTCCAAAAGACACTTCTTAATGGCATAGCGTCTCCTTTGGTAGTTGCCTCTGAGAAACCGGCTTTTACCTTCCAGTATAGGTATTGCCCTTCTTCCCGTATCTTTGAAGCAGCCAATTCTCTGAGCTGTAATTTAGTAAAAGTCCGCGTATAAGAACCTAACTCTGAAGGATCTGTTAGGCTAAATTTTCCAGTTAAGCACCCATCTCATAAAAACCATTCTAAGCCAAAATCTCATAACAGTTTCTTATTTGTAGAATGTTAGAGTTTCAAATTTGATACGGTACATCGCATGCGATACCAAAAGGTAACAAAACTAGCCAGAATGCTGGCAGTGTTATAAGACCACAGTATTCTACTGTCAAAACATCCATAGCTATGCAACATATCCGACTGTGTGTACAAGTTTATCATGTAAAGCAAGGCACTACGAGGCTGGTATACAGCACAGTATCATACGCACACCCACCTAAGACTAAGAACATGATTAAGAACCAAGGTAACCTAATTTCACAGTAAACACCATTTATATAAGATCCTATGGAGGCTAGCTCGAAAAAAACCTAGGTTCTTAAACGCGGGTTTTTACTGTATAAGTGTCAAATTCAGCATTAAAACAATCATGCTTTGGACTGTTAAAAACTAAGGTATGTGCTGAAAAAGGCAACAATAAATTCATTCTTACCTCTTAATGTTCTAGAGATGATTATAGGCCGTCCTGCAAGGGAAAAAAGAAAAACAATAGACACAGGTTGGAGTAACGTAGCCTTGAGGCCGCGTGCAATATTAGACTGAATATTTTTTACTTTCTCTCACCCACCAAAGGCGACAAAAGAGCGATAATAAGGATAATAATGCTAATAAAAATAATAACATCAGTGATAACACAAAACAATGATGAAAGGAAAACAAAGGGATTACTCATAACCTTAGGGGATGCTTAAATCTTCAGATACAATACTCATAAACTTAACATGGGTTTTGCAGTTTTTTTGTTTTTTTGTTTTTTTTTTTACAATCTATCAGTGAAGAAATGATGGTGAGTTTCAAGTCATTAGGCTTCAGTAGGTTTCAACGAAATCGCAATATGACTGACCCTCTACGCAATGACGACCCTGGAGAAACGAACGATATTTTTCAGCTCAATTATAGTCAAATGCGTGGAAAAGAGATCAATAAAATGAAAAACAAATCTAGTCCCTTAGTAATACAGCTATATCTTTTAATATAAATCATTCGCCTACCTCGTCCTCTACACCAGCCATACAGTTTATCTACATCGTAATTAGGTGTTAGTGCACACCAGGGCCGCCTTGAGTTGACTCGGGTACAGCGGTTGTATCGCCTTCCACGGTAGATGAACGGGAACACACAAATATTGCCTTTGGTTGTTCGTACACGAGGAGAGCCTGAAAAATAGGAGGTCAACAGTTTCTCGGTGAAATCGCGTCATGAACAAAGTTAGAAGTGCAAAGTGAAGTGGTTAAGCAATGACTTTTTTAAAAATAGAAAATCTTTCAATTCCAAAAATAAAATGGTTTACAAAAGCACCTCTGAGGACATAAACATCATTGGCCCAAGGTCCTCCCTTTCCATTTCTACATTTGTTAGATCTTCCGTATTTGCCATATGTTCGGTAGGCGTATTTCGTTGACGCACACCACCCCTGGTGCTGCACACCAAACACTCTGAAGCCTCGCTTCGCTGCCGCCAGGGCGCATTTCTGAATGGCGTATCGCCTTCGACGATAATTTCCCTTAAGAAGACGGCTTCTGCCTTCCAATGGTGCTATAGCTCGTCGGCCTGTGTCCCTGAAGCAGCCAAGTCCCTTCACTGAAAGAAAACGTTAAAGACCAGTAACTATCGAACTGCTACTAAAAGGCCTTTATACGCTGTAAGGAAAAACTAAACCTGGAAAATCACCATTGGACAACTGTGAACTGTTTGGACCGTTGCTCACCGAACTTCGCTTCCAATTTACTATTGTCTTCGCAATTAGTGATAGCACCTTGACAGATAAGTAAGCAATACAACTACAGTCTGGATATAATACCTCAGTTTTCAGAAGGACTCGTGTGTACTTAATCTACTTTCGCTTCAATTAAGTAGACTGACACTCTTTGAGTGTTACAACGAAATTTTACCGAAAGTGGAAGTCACACCTTGCTAATACACAGAGTTACACGTAAGAAGGAAACTGCACCAACCTTTCAATCCAACGGTGATTCTGATCACTCTCCCTGTAAGGAATAAAAGTATTTTGAGTCACCGCGAGGGAACCGTCAGTTCTACCCCTGCCTTCAATTTCACCATGGAAAGTGAAGAACACAAGACAGAAGTCAAGCATCCAAGAAGTTCACTTAATTGGTGCACTTTGAGCCTTTTTTCTTCATTTTTTGAAAAGAGCCTGGCACAAGAGGAGACTGAAACATGACAGGGAAAACACAGGGTGTGTCACGTATCTCAATCCAGTCCCTTCCCGTCCAGACCAAAGTTCTGCTTTCACTTTCCCTCCATGCTCGTTAACAAAAAAACAAAAACAAAAGAAGGAGAGGAAAATACCGATTACTAGAAGTCTAATTTACTGCTATTAATAAAAGCTGGAATAGCTGCTAGAGCTCACCTTTGTATGAAGGAACAACTGGACGAACAGGTCTGACAGGCCGGCGTCCTGTGTAGCGTTTAAAACAAATATTTCATCAGTATTAAGTCATGTCTAACAGATAGATGTTAATGTAGAGGAACGCAAGCATTGGATATATAAATTAGCACTGAATAATCAGGTAAATTAAAACACAAAAAAGAAAAACAACTAAAAGAGTGAATTTGGATTGGAACGAGGAAATGATATTTCTTCTTGTAAAAGGTCTAGTTTTCATCTTAACATATTTATCCAAACAAACTAGCGGAGGATACTAAATGAAGGGTAAGGATAATGTAAATTTGTGAACAAATCAACAACATTAGTTCTCTCGTTCGTCACAATGAATCCCTTCTTTAATAATTTTCATAACTTTATTCAATATCTGGTTGTTAGAACAACGTTTCTAATTCAGTGCTCCCTGTTCACAGCCTAAAACTTACTTGCACAATTTCCCCATTTCTTGTCTCGATCGTAGTTGGGCGTCAGAGCACACCAAGGTCGTTTGTGGTTCTTCGATGTGCAGCGATTGTAACGACGTCCTTTGTAGATAAATGGGAATGCACAGCAGTAGCGCGAGGTAGTTCGTTTCCTGCATGATCCTACAGGTGAGAGTTCAAAAGTAACGGCACGAATGATATCTCAAGTCGAATAAAGTCACGCTCCATAAAAAGTTACTCATATTAACATTTAGTAGAGTAATATCAACCATATTAAGTCATGTCAAAGTACACGTAGGGTCGGGAAACGAAGTTAATTTCATATCAGGTAAAGTTGTGTTAATCTGTCACACCATGTCACAACATGTCCAGTCATATCAAGGTCACGTTCTGTTACGTAACGCATTTTCACCGATAGAGTCGTGTTAATCTATGACGTCATGTCACTGTTGAGGTCACGTTGTGTCATGTTACGCATATCTGGTAAGTTAATTTAAATCTGTTAAGTCAATTCATGACATGTAAAATTATGTAGCGCAGTTTCACTCAAATCAGGTTAAGTCATGTCCATTCATGTCAAGTCGAGTACTGACAAGTCATGCGCCACAATTCCTGTGCTCTCACCTCGAATAAAATACACGTCATTAGCCCACGGGCCACCTTTGCCGTTCCTACATCGATTGGATCGTCCATACTTCCTGTAGGTCAAGTGAGCTCTTGGACCTGTAGCGCACCATCCCTGATGCTGAACGGAAAAAGCCCTGTAGCCACGTCTCGCTGCAGCTGCGAAGCACTTGAAAATGGCGTCGCTTCTTCTTCGGTAATAGCCGCGGACAAGAAAATCTTTGCCATCCATTTGTGGAATGGCTCGACGGCCAGTGTCTCGCCAACATCCAGCAGGTTTAACTGAAAAGAGAACAGGAACCACTCCATGTAAAAGTTAATGATTAGTCCTTAGTGATTTAACCCTTCCACTCCAAAGAGTGACCAAAGAGAATTTACTTCTAACAATATTCTTTTATTTTCCAGCAGAAAGGTTATGACAAGAAATTTTACCTGGATTTAAAATCAAATTCTCGGAGCTAAAATGATTACAGATATATGGAGGAATCTGCAGAGAATTTGTATTTAGATCTTGGCAGGGAAAAGGTCAAGGGTCAAAAGAGGTGAGATCAGAGTTCATTTTTGTACAGTGTGTCTTACGAGTCTATAGTTTCTCGACTAAAAATCCAAAATTTATCCGAGAATTTCTTTTTAACATAAATATAAAAAAAGAAAGAGAAAGGTGGCCATACTTACGCAAGACATTAGGTGTTACCCGGATTGGTCGAGCTGTAAAAAACAAACGCAAATAAAACGTAACTAACTTTCACAAACAATACACGTATCTTTTCAAATTTTTAAAATGGCTGTCGTAAAGCGCGCAACTGATCCATCTTGTCCGTTGTGTGGGGCGCCTTTTTACTTTGTTAGTTATTATACCTATGGCTATAAGGTTTTTTAATTGTTTTCATCAATTTGTTGTCGTTCAATTGTAATAAATAGATGAAAATAGACACAAATAGATATGAATGTACGAACTTACGGCGTGCTCCACCCCTACAGTATCCCCAAAGTCTCCGTCTCTTATAGTCCGGAGTTATATAACACCAACTTTGTCCCCGTTTATTCTTGGCGCAACTGTTGTATCGGCGCCCGCGGTACACGAAAGGAAACGAACAGCAGTAACCTGTGGTAGTGCGATATCTGCACTTTCCTAAAATTGAAACACATCACTGACAATAAGAATCTTTCACTAGAAAACTCTTATTATTCAACACTATCATTTAGTTCACTTTTATCTCTTATTTTTACTTTGCCCTATGCGTTTTTTAGTTTTTCGATTTTTCTTCACAGAACTTTTAGTTTAATCATGAGTGATTCCTAGATTAACTACATCTAGTTTCAAATCACCAGCGACCCTTACAATCGGATTGGCTATCAGTTGAGCAAATTTTTTTTAATTACGAATCGCTCTATTTTTTTTGCTCCAAATCGTCTCCATTTCTCAAGCCAATGAAATAACAACAATGAGGAGCTGAAGACAAAACAACCAATCACATTCCAAGGTTTGCTAATGGTAACCAATCAAATTGCAAGAAAACGAAAGACAATGAAGCCATTGTGTGGCAACTTTGCAACTTTTGTCCCCAAATCACGAGTATGATTTCCGACCAAACTGCATTCCACTCAGTTCAGTTACCATTGCGAAGAACCAGAGAAAACGAGAAGGAATGATGAAATAATAGAAAAAAAAAACTCAAGTAGATATTCTGTAAAAAATCACTTCACCTGAGATCCTGTAGACATCATTTGCCCAGCCACCTCCCTTTCCATTCCTACAACTGTTTGAACGGCCATACCTGGCATAAGTGAACTGGGCACGGGGTCCTGAAAAACACTGACCACCATGTTGGACCCCGATGTACTTGTAGCCAAACCTGGCAGCATCTAAGGCGCATTTCTTTATGGCAAAGCGACGTTTTTGGTAGTTTCCCTTCAGAAGGATACTTCTGCCTTCACGGTAAGGGATGGCTCTGCGAGATGTGTCTTTAAAGCAGCCGACTCTTTGGACTATAGACGAAACGAGACACAAGGGAACACTTGCATTGGTTCTGATTTACCATGTTATAGTTTGTCGAGAGAACTCGCTAAAGCTTTCATCCAGTTAACTTTTTAACTAAAACAAGTTCCGCCTGAGTAGAATACTTTTTTTTGGGTTGCGTTCCTATAATTCCTCTCAATACCTATACGCTGCTTGTGACATTGAACTTTGATAAGGTTACCTATTGTGGTTACCAAGCTTCCGGAGTTGTTTTAACCCCCCTGTCAAAAAGTGCTCTGATAGGCTCCAAATGAAAAAAAATATGTAGTGGCTAATACGACTGACAAGTGTAACACTAACACAACCACTCTGGCAAAACACTAAACGAAAGAAGGACTAGCAAGATATTAATAGCGTTACTTACGTGTTACTAGCGGTGTGACCTTGATGATAGGAGCTGAAATTGAAAAAAGAAAACGCAGATTAAAACTAGTAATATTTCTCTCACAGAGTTTTAAGAACTAATTTACAATTCTCTCACATGCAAACAAACAAACCAATTGAGATACCTTAGTTGTTTGTTCGTACGATGTATCCTATTCTTTACCACTTAAATAAAACGAAACCGGATACATTAAAGATAACAATCTATTTCTCACCTCCTCGTCCTCGGCAGTAACCCCACAATTTGTCCACGTCATAATTTGGAGTTGAGGCACACCATGGACGACGGTTTCTAGAATTGACCGTGGTACAGCTAGTATACTTTCGGCCCTTGTAAACGAACGGGAACACGCAGCATTCACCACGGGTTGATCGAACTCTGCAAGACCCTGACGTCAAAGGCAAAAAAACTCAATATAGTGAGAGTGTGTCGCACTACGGCAATTGAGTGTCGGGATCACATTGACATTGTTTTTACGGCCCCGTCATTGGTTAACTTCTCAGCCAATCGGCTTCAAAAATTCAACCAAAAGCACAAGAATCTAAATTTGGTTCACTTAATTTTTGCAAGAAACTGTTGATATGAACTATGCTTAAATAAAAATAGACAAAAGAAGTAAACAAATTTTTTCCAAATATGTTTTTACAAAAATTTCCACATGATATGCATATGCTATAAATCAACTTGAGGTTGACAGGTTTCTAGCAATAAAACATGAGGGTTACAAAAACCAAAGCCATCTTTACCTCTTAAGACGTACACGTCATTAGCCCAGGGTCCACCCTTTCCATTCCTACATCTGTTAGATTTCCCATATTTGGCATATGTACGATAAGCGTGTCTAGCAGAGGCACACCATCCGCCATGTTGGATTGCGAATACTGTGTAACCTCTCCTCTTTGCCGCCAGAGCGCATTTCTGAATGGAGTACTGCCTTCTGCGGTAATTTCCTTTAAGGAGACGACTTTTGCCTTCCAACGTTGATATGGCTCGTCTTCCTGTGTCCCTGAAGCAGCCAAGTCCTTTAGCTGATTAACAAAAACGACGAAAAAAAATCAGTATTTTACGAAACAAAAAATCACGTATATATGTCAAGGGAAATTACAAAAAAGCCTTTAAGGAAAGAGAAGTACATGTTTAACGTGGTTTTGGACCCAACGGTACAAGGTAAACCAACTACATAGACATGTTGTGCAAGTTCATGCAAGAGAATTTTAATAATTTTAGTTTGACTCACCCACTAAAACCACTGTGATGCGGATTACTCGTCCTGGAAAAAAAATAAAAAAACAAAACAAAACAAAACAAAACAAAAAATAAAGTTTAAGCTGAGAGATTTAAATCCACTATATGTATAAACTATTACAACAATTCACTTATTCATAAAGCTGCTACAATGATTGGAGCAAGAGCCTAAACACAATATTGTAAGCTATCACAAACTTATCATAAGCTATAACTGATTATTAGTGACAATATCAAAAAAAAAATTATGTGTACCATGCAAAAAGTACCTAACAACTGTACTCTTTACAGCTAATTTAGTCCATTCAGCCAGCACACATGATCCAAAAAAAAGAAAAAAGAAAAAAAAAAAGAAAAAAAAAAGAACAATGGGCAAAGTTGTAAACAGCTCATATTCTAGAAATGGAATGTACGAAAGACTTCAATTCAGATAGAAGTTTACTTTTTTATCAAATATGAAAAGGTACTGCGACACTTACCTCTAACTCGTGGTACAACAGGTCGGACTGGTTTGCGACGTCGGCCTAATGTAATGGAAAAGGATTCAAAGTCTCATGAAGGATTTGATGGTTTAAAGGGGACTCACTGCTAATATTAAGCTATACAGTACGTTTATTATTTAGTGTTTCTCACTAGAGGCTCAGGTAAAATTAATTTCTGAAGAAAAGTGAAATAGCCTGTATTCATCAATATTTTCTGGGTCTCCTCTGATGTTAATCACTCAACTCTGATAATGACTTCGACTAAGGTTGTCAGAACATCAGTCACTTAACTATCCACGATAGTCCTTCTCAGGACAACTGTCAGCCAGACAATCAGACTGCACAACTGCACAATTAATTTAAAGTATTTCAACACATACACCATAAGTAGCTGGTTTATGATAAAACTTACATTTACAATTTCCCCATTTCTTGTCGCGATCATAGTTGGGTGTCAGAGCACACCATGGTCGATTGTGGTTTCTTCTTGTACAACTGTTATAACGACGTCCTTTGTAGATGAACGGGAATGCACAGCAGTAGTGATTTGTGACCCTTCTTCGACATTTACCTATAAAAACAAATTTTTATGTTATCCTATGAAGATAATTATCCCATATATAAAAACGGTTTAATACAATGGTATTCATTTTTTTTAAACCTACCAGAAACAAAGTAAACATCGTTTGCCCATGGACCACCTTTGCCATTCCTACATTGATTGGATCGTCCATACTTCCTGTACGTCAGGTGAGCTCTAGGGCCTGTAGCACACCATCCCTGATGTTGAACAGCAAAAGCTCTGTAGCGTCGCTTGGCAGCCTCCAGAGCACATTTTGCTATGGCATCACTTCTTCGTCTATAGAAACCACGCACAAGAAGGCCTTTTCCATCCATTTGTGGAATGGCTCGGCGACCTGTATCTCTGTAACAGCCTCGGGATCGAACTGAAATACAAGAAGTATCAAAATCAATTCACATTTGGAGAAAGAAACAAGAAAACAGACAGATCTTAGTGATGTTAATTAGCAGAATAGTAATAATCATTTAAATCAAGTACCACTTATTTCATTTGGCATCACTCGGAAAATAATTACAGTACAGTAAATACTAAAAATGTGCAAGCATGATGTGACACAAAAGCAAATAACAAAACTATCAAGTTACTTACTCACAACTCCACTGGTTACTTTAGTTGGGGGAGCTGGTGGGGCAAAAGAATTTGACAAGCATTAGCAACACTGCAGAAAAAGTAACTAACAATTACCTCACTTTGATCAAGTCTAATGTTTATAGTATATCTTCATTAATACCTCTGTAACCACGGCAATATCCCCATTGTTTGCTCCGAGGATAATCTGGTGTAGTTGGACACCATGGCCGCCCACTCCTTGTTTTTGCACATCTATTGTAACGGCGTCTACCATAGGTGAATGGGAACACACAGCAGTAACCAGATGTAGTTCGTTTTCTGCATTTTCCTAGCAGAAAAGAAACACAAAACATTTCCTTTGGCTAACTGATCAAATCAGGGAAAAAGGGAAAAAATAAATTATACTACTGTCATTCCACATTCAAATACTGCAAAAAAAGCAACAAACAATGACAGCATTGGAAAACAAAGAAATACGTAGGAAAATTGATGATTATCATTAAAAGCAACCATTGTCTTCAATGTTGGTTATGTAAATACATATTTTTTAAGATGATATATTTTTTAAAGAGCAATGAAAAGTAAATGAATTGGTCAACTTCTCAACACTTGTAACTACTTGCTACTTGAAAAGATTTCATCAAAATTTCTTGTAAACTAATAAATGAATATATTATACTTTCCAACATTCAACCCTTTAACTCCTATGAGTGATCAAGAAAGAATTTCTCCTTACAATAGCAATACAAGATAGGTGATGAGAATCAAAAAAAAATATAATTTAGGGGATTCTAACATGATCCAATATAAAATTTTCCAACTAACATCATAAGAGTTGTAGACTGTAAGGAGAATTACTAATGAGATGTGAAAGTGAAAAGCCTAGGTAATATTATGTACATTTGATATTTCAATCGAACTGGAATTTATATAGGCAAGTTTGCCAATTTGGAAACTGGAAATTTCACCAAACACAGTCTCACCTATAATCCTGTAAACATCATTAGCCCAAGGTCCACCTTTGCCATTCCTACATCTGTTTGATCGGCCATACTTAGCAAAGGTTTTGTGAGCCCTCGGTCCAGATGCACACCATCCGCCATCTTGGATTCCAATGAACCGATAGCCACGCCTTACAGCTTCATAAGCACATTTTTCAATAGCTTTTCTTCGGCGCTTATAGTTTCCTCTTAACATAGGACTTTTACCATCTAGTTGTGGGATGGCCCTACGCCATGTATCCTTAAAACAACCAATTCTCTGGACTGAAAAAAGAGGACAAAAGAAATGTGTTTTGTTATGTTATATTATAATATTAGACCAAAAAATTAAACAAAATTTGACATGGACAGACTGCAAGGAAGCTTTTGGTTTGACCTAGATTCAGTTTTTGATCACTTACTAGCATATTATCAGTCTGTCATGAAAACTTTTTTCACTCTTCTAATAGTACCCTTGACAAAAGTCTGAACTGCATTCTTATTACACAAAGTATTATCAGCCACCACTATCATCAGTTTAGAATTTGGTTTATAGACACTTACGTCTCAGGGGTGGTGTGAGTCTTACTGGACGTCCTGAAAGTAGAAATAAAATACTCATACTTTATCACATCTATTTGAAAATAACTAGTGACCCTTGTAATTTGATTGGCCCTTAATCAGAAAGATGTAATTTATTCAAAAATCACACTTTTTTCTATGAAGAGCACCTTCTCCCCCAATCAGTAAGGATGGAAGAGTAAGACAAAACAAGCAATTGGATTGCAGATTTCAGCAATGTTATTTATTCACCAATTATACTCTTTTCCTAATTTTCATATTCATTTTCTTTTACCACAGGATTAGTACAACAATTGTGACTACCAATATCCAATAACTTGGACCATCAAATGATGTGATTTCAAAACGGAAGTACTGGTAATAAGGCTTTGTGTCTAGAACTATGGGACTGAAATCATAATTTTGATTTCACTTCAAAAAAATGCTGTGCTTGGTCCATTTGTCTTTCTCGTAATAGCTTTTTTACACTGATTACAGTCCACAAATTAACTAAATTTAAGTCTTAGTTAAGGGGGAAGCTCGCAGTCATCAGCCAAATGAGCTTCCTCACAAACAAATTTGCATATATAATTAAAAAATGTATTTTCTTGCCAAAATATAATCTTAATCTGAAAATCTAAAGTACTCATTTTACTTAGTATTACCAATGAAATAAATTTAACGGAATTAAAAGTTGAGTCATCAAACACATTTCTTCACCTGCACCACCACAATATCCAAACAATTTGTCTACATCATAGTTGGGAGTTATAGCACACCATGGCCGTCGAGATCTTATTCTGGTACAACTGTTGTATCGTTTGCCGCGGTAAATGAACGGAAACACGCAACAGAAGTTTTGAGTTGTGCGTTTTCGACATGACCCTGAAAAACGCCAAAAAAATTAGGCAACAGCTAAAGGACTTGTTCTTATACAATATATTTTCCCGTTTCCAACGCACTCACAGGAGATTTATGTTGTGAGATTATCTTAGTTTATGAAAACTTACTGTGAGAACTGCATTACTGAAGACACTGTAATGACTTTGTAACAAATTCCATGGCACGCGATTCGCAGATGGACTGCCTGGACAAACGTTATGATCATAACTTCTCGTCTTACAGGCACTGATATCGTGAAAGGGAGTTCACTTGAAATATATAAAAGCTCAAATGTATTTCAATCATAGGCTGGAATGTCGTGAAATTTTGTCTCGTTAACTAAACAACTGATTGGCATAATGGCTCAATGTCCGCCATTTTGGTTTAAAGAGTCCCAGCCTTCGCTCAGTTACACCGGTGATATTTTGGTGCTGTACGCGTTGCCGGAAGCTTTTCGTAAACAAGGGCACAAAATCAAGCTTTTACCTTAAGGTAAGTTAAGTTTCCTTTGATTATTTCGAATGTGTTTGGAGAAAAAGTTAAATTAAATGTGGAGTAAAATTTTTAAATGAAGTTTCAACATCAACTTGTGGTACCTCGGTAAAAATCCATTCTCAGATTTTGACTTGTTGTACATAGATATTGACAGACTCAGTCACTTTTTTAACAAACTTACCCTTAAGAAAGTAGACGTCATTTGCCCAAGGTCCTCCCTTTCCATGTCTACATCTGTTGGATCTTCCGTATTTACCATATGTTCGATACGCATATTTCGCGGAAGCACACCATCCACCATGTTGCACGGCGAAAACACCCCAACCTCGCCTTTTCGCTGCCATAGCACACTTCTGAATTGCGTAACGCCTTCTGCGGTAACTTCCTTTCAAAAGACGACTTCTACCTTCCAGTGTTGCTACCGCTCGTCGACCAGTGTCCCTGAAGCATCCTTTACTTATTGCTGTGAAAGTAAACACTCAACATGTGATTATTCAAAGGTTGTGCAAGGGCCTCGAATTAAAATGAGTAGCGTATATGTACTCACAAGTCTTTGAATTCAAGACAGGTCAATTAGTATTATTAACTTATTGAGTTATGAATTCACATCGACACTTTTTATTTAGCTCGCTTGAAAAAATAGTTTTCCCTCTAATTCACGCCTTTCCACGACGTACTTCCTATGAAATTGGGGTTAAAAACAAAAAATTTAAAACAACTAACGATTAAAGAAAACCTGAGTCCTTCCATTAAAACACATCAGTTCTCAGTAGATGCCTCAGGTACAAAAAAAAAATTCTTACCTATGACGTTTGCAGTAATTCTGATAACTCTCCCTAAAATGAAATAACAAAGAGCAATTGTAAGTTCTGCGTAAAAGACTTTTTACTTAACAAAACAAGCGTATGAGCAAAAACAAGTAATAAAAAATTGGAATTGCCACTGAAAGTATTTTTTTATATAACAATGTAGTAAGGGATATCTGATAGTCTTGACGGTGTAACGAATTTTCAATGTTTTTTCAGAAAAAATACTTCCAAAAGAGGGATGGCATTACTCTAACATCGCGATAGTTTCGGCAACAGTGGTTTCAATAATGTTTGGTGGTTTAGGGTTAAAGTTAGGCGAATAGTTTTGAAGGCCTGAGGAGCTTTCACTCCCTAGGTTCGTCCGGGCTTCTCTGGGAAATTTTGTAGGCCTGAAGGGCTTCCACTTGTTGGGGAATTCTTGGCTCCCCTGGTAAAATTTTGATGGTTTGAATATTACAATTGCATTTTTGGCATTTTGAGATCCATTAAAAAGCCGGTTGCTCTCTTTTTCTTAGCCGTCAACCAATTTGAAGAGAATTTAATGTATGTCAGATTTTAGCCAGCCCATAACATGAAACCAGATCTACCAGCTATCTAGATGTTATTTAAAAGCCCTAAGTAAACAGAAAATGCAGAAAATAATCACTCTCAGCATAACTGAAATACTCGGAATTTGGTAAGTGTATGACGGGTGAAAATACTGCTTTTTTACGGGGCCTTGCTCATAGTCTAACGGCCATGTGAAACAGACGGTGCATGCTTCTAATTTCAGAATGATTTATTTCATACATCTTTGGTTCAACATTTCAAGAGCTGGTCATATTATGTTTAAAAAAATCATATTTTGACAACAATTCATGACAAAATTTTTGTGGCCTGCTAAGGATAGTAAATTTCAAATTGCTTAGGTTGCCGTTTTTTAAAATTGTTAATTAATTTTTTTTAGCTTAAACTTACTTCTTCTGAGGCATTTTCGTTCACATTCAGCTTTTGACCCAAAGTTATTAGCATTTCCTCGGCACCCGCCATAAATGAACATCTGGCACCTTCCTGTGGCCCTATTGTAGTACCATCTTCGCATTGCAGCACGGCAAGGACCAGTTACTTTTGGAAGGTTAC